TTGCTACAAATTGCAGAATAAAGAAATGATGGTTGCAAGCAGATATTACTTCAGGCGAAGCAGACCTCGCGGAGAACGTTGTAAGTGATGGAGATATCTTAGCTATTTCTGACATTGAGTCTAAATCGGAAGATGATTGGATTCTTGATTCAACATGTGTGTTTCATATGTGTCCTGATAATGACTTGTTTACTACATATAAAAATGTTTTCAAAGGTGTCGTGGTTATGGAAACAACGCATCTTGTCGGGTTAATGGAATTGGAACAATCAGATTGAAACTTTTAGATATGACAGTTAGAACACTTGGTCAGGTTCAACATGTTCCAGATTTGAGAAAAAATCTCATCTCGTTGCCTATCCTTGATTTAAAAGGTTATGAATTCTTTGGTGGAGGTAGAGTTTTGAAAGTTTGTAAGGGTGTCCAAGTTGTATTAGAGAGACAGAAAATATCTCATTATACATCTTGAAGTGTCGTGAGAATTTAGAAGAATCAATCAGCACAAGTTCAGTACTGTAGTGGACATTCAGTTTAGTACAATACATTTAGGAGCTCATAAAGGGCCAGATTTGAAGAATACAGTTCAGTGGAGTTTAGGAGATATCGATAATGCCGCTTTGCCACCATCACCTGCGGTGCCATTGTATTCAATTGTTAGGGACGAATCCAATGGAAAATGGTATGTGGATGTTGATTTTATTGAGCATGCTTATAGTGGAGTAGAACGTGTACAATCTAGCAATTGACCTTCTTTAAAGGCATTTGAGTTTAATTCTGCTTTGGGGTGTGTTACAACCTATTTTGGTAAATTATAAAATCATTATAATTTTTTGGGATCTGAGATAATTTTGTAGAGTAGTGCTTGGATTCATTGGAAGAGGTGGAGTTGTGTATTTTGTTGGAGAAATTAATTTTTTTATTATTGTTGAAGAAATCAGTTCATTCTTTGGTGGAATTCGTATCAAGGTGGAGATTGTTAGAATTTGGGTGTGACTCGAATTCCTTGTTGAAGTAATTGAAGAATTCTAATTGAAGTGCACGTAAAAAAGAATTTAGTTTGAAATGCTATTTGAGTCTTATGTCAAGTTGAAATTCTATTTTGAAAGCTCATTGGGAGTTGAAATTTGTTTTGGACTTGATTTTTTGATATTCTTCTTCATCAACAACTTCACTAGGAAGGTTTGGATATCCCCTACATGTTCCCTATAAATATTAGACTCTTCTATACAATTTTAAATGTATGAGAAAATAGATTACTAAAATTATAGGATCTATTGTAATTTTTTTCTCTTCTTCATTATTCTTGAGTTAATAAAATCTCTTAATTTCTCTGTCATATTCTTGTTTTTATTATTCTTTTACTTGATCATATACTTTATTATTATTTGCTATATAACTTCAACATCTCAATCCGATGATTTGCTTCACAACAATAACCATACAATGACCAATGGTATTGCCTCACTAAAAAATTAAACCAATATCCTTGGCGTTTGTTTAGGAAATATTTTTTTACAAGTGAAAAATGACTTTGTTTCGAGAATGTGTGGTTGAAAATGATTTTGGAAAAAAATGATTTCTAGAAAATCTCTCCCAAACAAGTTTTCAGTATTTAGAATATGTTGTAGAATGCACTGAACACAAAAGAATATATTAGGCTTGATAATTGTTACTTATATCGTCAGGTGCCACATTAACTGATTTCTAGGAGGAAAGCACAAACTTAGCACAATTTATAACGTTACCACTACTTAGAGATCCGAAGTAAAAACCTTAAAACAAAAAAAATTCAAGGTGCCTTTTTTTCATATAAGAGATCTACATTTTCATTTCGCTTAGTATTTCGTACAAAAGACTTATCTTACTGTATTCATCCTATGTAAGACTTGTGAAAAGAAGGCTAAAGAAAATATTTTTCTCGTTGGTTACGCACTCAAGATCCCTAAATATATTGTCACAAACCTAAATTACAATTCAGTTCTATTTGATAGTTCATCTTTCTTCCAGCATATGAGAAAGAACTAAAATCTCTGAAAGCCCACTCGAATAAGACAAACCTTCAATTACCAACACCAATTGCCAATAGAATCCAAAAAAACTTGAACAGCCCCGTTGTAAAGTCAATATAAGATTGAAACTATTTAGAAATCCTAGGTTTTCGTGGAATATAGTCCTTCACTTAGATCCAATGATATAATTATCCCTTCTGCTTTGGGGTTTGGTTGGTGGGGCAGGATTCGTATGAAATAATTAAAAAAATAAAAACAATTAATCTTGAAAAGAACAATAAGAGCTCATCCATCCATGCATAAATACAGAACTAATTGAAAAGACAAGAAAATGATATATCACCAGCGTCGAGGTCTCTTCTTGCTCCTCAACACAATTTCTTGAATCCTCATAATTTTCCAGCTCTGGAGAAAAACTTTGAGCCATCCTAGATGAACCCACAAAATTTTCCATACTCTGATGGCCAAATCTTGTTGAATTATTTACTGAAAAATAGGAATTTTTAAATTCTACTCTAGCAATTTGAAAGATTATAGTTTTGTACCAAGGATGAGAAGGTTTGATTTCATTCTTGAAAAAGAGCAAAAAGAGAGAGACCTAGTTGTCTACTTTTACACGTGTCGAACAGCCAACATATTGCCACGTCAAGCTAAGACGACCAGATATTTTTTGAGTGTGTGTTCCAAAATATCAAAGGCTAGGATCATAAAATATCTCCATTCTTTGCACTTCAACATCCAATACAATGTAACTGATTCGTTTGGTCGGGATATCTATTTTAGAATTCGATAGCTTATTCATTTGAACTTTCTCAAAAAAAAATTTTTTTTATATGGAACTTTCTCTAAATTAGTATAGTTTCGAGAAGATATCTTATTAAAATATTAATTTTATAAGAGTAGCTCGCACAACTTTGTACGATGATTACTATTTTCATATTTATATTTCAAATATATTACTTGTTTCCTATCAAAAATAAAAAAAATTACCTGGTCGACAAATTGTTTTCTTAGCTCTCTTTAGTGTTTTGAAGGAATGGATTGTCGTCAAGAAATGGCGTTGGAAACTTATATATAGAAAATGTGCAGAGATGAGCCCTATTTTTTTTATTTTTTTTAAAAAAAGTGACGTATTCACAACTTGAGTAGTAAAATAGTTATCGATTCAAGACTTGGCCCCTATTTGGTACTGATTAAAATTAAAATTTAATTTAAGTCAAAGTCAATAATTAATTTTAACCACATATTTCATGAATCCCACAACTTTTCAACCACATGTTCCATCAACTTTTCTCAAAATCTTTTAAAAATCTTATTTTAGTCTCCATCAAACCGGGATTACTTATGTCTTACAGTTAAATTTTTGAAGCTCGGCCAAACATGCACACCTGTTTAAAACTTTTGTGCTCGTGTCCTTTTCATTGTGGAAAGTCCATGTGCAGCCTACACTACATGTTTTGTCTTTGAATCTGGACGAATTTCTCAACCCATGATTTTTGTTACTATCTTCGATGATTGAAAAACTATCGTCACCATTCTTGAAAAACAAAATTGGGAAGACCAAGGCAATTAAGAATCCTCCAAGACTATATTTCTATATTTTGGAGAATTGGATTATGTCTTTCTTCTAGTCCTTTATTTCGATACATCATGTCTTTCCCTTTAGCACTGTGTCAAGGCCACAAAGAGCGGAATGTGACTTCTTTCACTATTTCTTTTGTTGGAACTCTGTAAATCCCTTTCGAATTGAATGATTCAATGTGAAAATCACGCTCACTCTCTCTAGATCACTTTGAATTTCGGACCTCAACACCCTGTCGTTCATGATGTTTCACGATTAGTATTGGAAATGAACGGAGAAGTAATGGAACATTCTGAACCACGTATTGGATCACTCCAATGCGGTACGAAGCCGTTGATGCTGAGTCGACTCCCATGCCACTAGCTATGCCCTGTTGGTCCCTTGGCATGTTGAAGGTTCTGTAGCACATCATGAGCACCGAGCTAAGGGGCAATTGAGCAACTCAAGCTAATCGCCCTATCTTACATAGGGACATAAGGGAGAAGGTGGCCTCGTTATTCACACCTCCAGTTGGATGAATGGAGTATATCATTTGCAGGGATATATAATTCAATGATGCTATATGTACAAGTAAACTTGGACAGATTTTTTACACTATTCCACTGACCATTTTGCATTGGTCATTGGGAAAAAGAAGAAGAAGCACCATACAAATTTTGCCACGCAACACCTGTAAGGTGCCTGTGAACAAATCCCCTTGAGAAAACCTAGAAAGCTTGTAACATATTCTATTTATAGTAATTACATATAAAATCTCTAATATTAGCAGAGTTAGCATGGGTGTACTAAGCTATATTAAGAAATAAAAATATCCGTTATATAGTATATACCATCTAATATTGTGTAATAAACATACATTTGAAAGTACGTAGCACAAGACAAAATCGTATAGTATAAAAAATAAATTTTAGGTTAATTTTCTTTCTTTAGTTCTATATAAGATTGTTGAATCCAACATACCAAACATATTGTTTCAACAAATAATAAGCATCGAAAATGTGGAAAATTATTTATAAAAGGACCCATTTGTAAGCTTCCAAACATAGTGCAAGTAAACTTTTAAAAGAAAAATCAAATTTACAAAATCATAAAAAACATATCTAAGGTGCAAGTTTAATCAGAGCAAACGAAACGTTCTTGATGCCTGATGGCATTACATATATAAATTAACTTATACTTTTTTGTAAAAATAAATTACACTGCATAATAGTCCAATTGCATTTAATAAAAATAGCTGAACATTAGCACAAGTGTTTACATGATTGAGATGGGGGGAAAACAAAAATTAGCCAAAATTGTATCAGCCTAGAAACTGAGTTTATTCTCGTATTATACAGTCGTTGAGCTTTGTCCAGATAACACTGTTTAAAAGAACGCAATTCTTGTATAAATAGTAATGAGGATGAAAATCAACTGGTTTGCTTTGGATCATCCTCTGTTATCACAGTTTCCTGCAGGTCTATATGTCCTGCAATTGGAAAAATGTAGTGAAATGTCAAACATTAGCATAAGTCGAAGTTGCAGGATATTGCTATAAAATGAATCGAAGCTTTCAGACGGTGTTAATGAAAATAAACAGAGACGAACCAAAAAGATTCACTGCTCAAATAAAAGAATAGCAATTGACTAACTGCTGCAATTTTGTCACCATCAGTTATCGTGTAGGAAATGTTTAATACTTTTTAATCCATCACAGACTTGTCACTGAAGACGGCATTATGGAGCATGGAAATTTTGACAACGATATTTTTGTTTTCATAGGTTAAAAAGGAGATAAAAGATCATACCAAATAATGACACTAAAGATGGAGGCTTTGAAGATCCATTTGAAACCCCGTCTATACCTGCACGATGATCATTTCTGTTAATAATCAGATGCAGATCAACCAGAAAGGGATTATAGAAAAAAGTTTTATCAAAGCATCATTGTCATCACACAATAGAATCAATAAATAAACTCGTGTAATTCTACTTCAAAATTGATGCTTTGTACTTAGGAACAAGTTACATGATGCAATTTTACAAGAAAATGGACGTGTTTTAAAAGTCTTTTGAGCTCCAAAGTCTAAGAATGGTTGAAACGTTTCTTTTAAGACAATGATTGTCCAAAAAGAAAACGAGAAATTCAAGAGTATCAACATTATAACATTTTGAGTTTTTCCGAGATGAAAAGAAATCATTTCTATAAAATCCTGGCCATATGGTCCTTAAACCAATTTTAGCTGCCTGTAATTTATGAAACCCCTATATATGTTTATCAGAATAGATGTTATTCTTCTACCAAAGCTTTCCATCTGCTGGTAGCAGCGAAAGACTTTCCCTTTGTTAATTCTTAAAGTAGACCTACAGTTAGATACAACAAAAGCATGAATCAAGAGAAATAACTTTTGCTACCCAATATTCAACATATTTACCAAGATTATATATTCATCATATATTGTACCTAATTGACAATTTATTCCATGTTTATAGTGAGTGGAACTAAGAACAGCTTCAGGATCAATAGTCATAACGATTCCTATCTTGTTACTGCGTTCTAAGTTCTATCCCGTTTTCTGTTTTGCAATATTTTTCCTATAAATCTTGTTTACATGGATACAGAAAGAAACCACTTGATGTTCATTATCTTTCATGATCTGTCCTTTTCTAATTAACCACAAATAAGATTGATTGAGGTCAGTTGAATCCATATAATCTTTATTCTTAATGTAACAGTACAAAGTGAATTGGTTGAGCTTTATGGTATTAAAAGCTAGATTCTTCGTTTTTGAGATAAATGTAAAATTAAAACGTCTATAAGATAGAATAATATATTAAGAGTTCTTTAGTATTTCCCAAAAAATAATTTGTTACTGAAGTTGACCTGAAGTAGCATACCTGAAGTTTCCATTGATTTCAGAATATCAGATTTTCTAAAAGTATATCCAATAAAGTTGGCATCCTTTGATGTTAACATCTGCAAGATAGAAGGCAACAAAAAAAAATTCATATTCTTATCACCATTTTATCAAGGAGAAGCACAAAGAACAGAATATTAACTTATAAAACAGTTGCCGTCTTGTATGTACAGTATCACATAAAAGGACAGAACTGGATTGATATTGCTTTCACAATTATTTTATTTTATTTATTTATTTATTTGGTCAAAAGGCTAAGACAATTGATATTATAGGATATCTACCCCTAATTTTTGGGCGTATAGATATAGTTTTTATCAATTATGACCAAGCAAAACCAAAGTTTCCCACTTTTCAGCAGGAAAGCTTAGTAACATTGTCATATAAGAACATATGGAAACATGCTTATCTATTTTTATCCGTGTCTTTCTTGGGAAGTAAATAGTTATGCTACATATACAGTTAAATTTATGCAATTCTTCATAATTTCCATTTTTTGGTTTTCAAGTTTTCTAGCCCTTATTTAGTACCGATTAAAATTCAGATTTTAATTTAAGTCAAATTCAACAATCAATTTTATCAAAATCTACTAAACATTTGATTTTAATCCCTACCAAACAGGGGCTTAGTAAAGTAAAGATATTTACCTTCCGCCAAGGTCCCACTGTGGATACAGCAGACGGTGGATTGTTGCCCTATTACATATCAAAAGGTAAGCACAACATAATAATTGGAAAAATAATATTGAAGTGATAAGAAACCCTTGCAGACCCTGTTGCGGCAAGATTTAAATGATTTTCACAATTCCAAGAAATCTTTAAGTGATTTCTTTAACAATTCCTAGAAATTCAAGTACTAAAAGCTAATAATATTAACATACTTCCTCAAACTTTTCAAAATTCTGCGTGTCTAACTCTCCAGTTACTGTAGGTTTGTAGGCAGCTTCCATTTCATAAAGGGTCTCCCAGTTAACGCCACTAAACCATGAATGTGCCTGGAATTGAAAAAAAGGTAATGTTGATCATAAAGTAAACTAGACTTTTTGTAGAATTGTGATACTAAAAATATAAATTTCTGAAGAAGTTTATCCAAGTTCCTGAAATAATATTTTTTCTAACTTTGTCTGTGTATGGACATATATGTCATCCATTTTACCCTTATTTCGTCCACTCCTCTGGTCCCCAACCTTCTTTCAACATCGCATAACAAATGACAGATCAGATCCTTGGCCTCAATTGAGATTTTTGGTTCTTCAGGGAATTTCAAGCATGTTTTCCAATTGATAATCTGATACAAGAAAGAAGCATGATATATCTTGCAAAAATGAGGGATATTTTTGAAATAGTAAAAATAATAATTAGCTCAAGTGTGAAAAAAGACCATATTTAACATTTTTACGTCAACTATGCGTAATGAGTACGAATTATGATTAACAATACTGAAAAAATTGACGATCCCCATATAGATCTCATTTGAGAAGAATCAGCAAAAAAATTTCGTTCTACAAAGATTTCCGTACTTTGCAAGTTCATGCATCTTCAAGAAGTTTGCACAATCACAAACTGACAAGTATTACAATACCTTGCGGCATGTCATTCTAGGATCGTCAGAGCAAAAGGGAGGATAGCCTACGAGCATTTCATACATGATTGCCCCCAATGACCACCAGTCACACTCCATTCCATATCCTTTCTTCAACAAAACTTCAGGTGCCATATAATCAAGTGTTCCAACTGTAGAATATGCCTGCAAAAGATACCATACAGCTTATGCTTTTTCCCCAATCTACTTTTAAGTATATCAGTATAAAATAAATGTGTAAATTACATTTGTGGTCACTAAATTTGTACCAAAATTTCATGATAATTTCAAGCTGGCAGTGAACTTAAACTTTGTTTCAAGTTGTGCACTTTTTCCACATCTAATAGTCCATCTAACAGAAAAAGTGATGTGACACTCTAGTTTTTACCAAGTAGCTGCCAACTAGATTGTCATGTTGGATTTTCTATTTGTCAAACCAAACGACATGGATGTAATGACCTCAATGTAAAAAGTGCTGAAGTTCACTTGAAACTTCAATTACCAATTTGAAACAAAATATAGTGTGACCAACGTGAAATTTCAAGAAAAAGTTCAGAGTCCTTCATTTTTAACCCACTAACTATAGTGAAAGTGAAAATTGTCGAACCAACATACTGTTTCAACTAAGCAACAAAACGAGTATAAAAGAATACCAAGGCACGACGGTTACGTTTCCACTGCTGTAACTGCTCCTTCGCCATTAACCAAGGAGCACTATCACTGCCATCATGCCCTTCACTATCAGTTCTAGATTCCTGAGTAGTAAAATCGTCGTCTTCCAACAACGATGAATATTTATTATCCAGGGGCTTACACAAGCCAAAGTCAGAAAGCTTTAAATGGCCATTTTTGTCCAATATTAGGTTGTCTGGTTTGATGTCCCTACAAGCAGCACCAATTTGAATAGCACTAAGGTTATAGAAATATATATAAGAACAACATACACAGAGAAATAGGCAAAAGTTGGTGCATCAAAAGTATGGCTAATGCTTGAAATAACGCGTTCAACGACAGCATTTCGAAAAGACCTAACTATCTAGGTCCATTTTATTGACTTTTGACTCTGCTAACAAACAGGGAAAGAGAAGGCAAAGTGAGCCTCTGCAGGGACTAACTGAAGTGAAAAGAACTGAAGAAAATGGGAATGATCAAATCATACAAATACTTGGGATAAAATGATGAACTACATAGATACCTATGGACATAACTGTGCTGGTGAATAGAATGAATCGCTAGAATGCTTTCCGCAATGTAGAACCGTGCAACATCTTCGGAAAGGATATCCTCTCTCATAAGTAAAGTCATAATATCACCACCAGGCAAATATTCCATAATAAGGTATAAGAAATCAGAATCTTGGAATGAATAAAAAAGCTTCACTATGCACCGACTGTCCACCTCCACAAGCAAATTCCTCTCAGATCGGACATGCTCAACCTATAATAATGAAGTGATTCAATAGGTAAATATAGTGTAGAAGCATCGAAGTGTACAAAATTTGTGCGGAGTTCAAATCTTCACCTGTCCACGGCTAAGCATCTCTGATTTCTTCAATTTCTTCATGGCAAATATTTCTCCTGTACTTTTAGCACGACATAACCTAACCTGCATCACTTAATCGAGTCACATACATCACCTAAGTGCCTCGCTTCCATTTACTATTGATTTAAACAAGTAAATCTTCAAAATAATTATCATAAAATCATTTGACAGAACCAAAAATTCCCTCTTTATGATCTAACCAAGAGAACAGTACCAAATCAATGATCGCAATTCTCGACTCAATATGATCACAACTAACCGAAAACAGAACAAAGAAATTTGCAATGAATTAAGATTCTATACCTCACCAAAAGCTCCTTTGCCAATGATAGTCAACTGCTCAAAATCATCAATCCCAACTTTATGCCTCTGCAATCTCATATATTCCGTCTCTCTTTTTTCCAAGTTTCTCAGCATTCTCTCTTGCTCCTCATTAGATACTTGCGCCTCTTTCGCCCTCCTCTGCAACGCCCACCGCCTGAACCGGCCATGCCTCAGTTAAAAAGAATCAACGAAACTCACCGACAATAGTATAGACGCGCGGGCGCGCACACACATTATACATACAATTGAACAAACTAAGCCTTGGGGTCGACCATATTGATATACTCACATAAGTACCTATTCCAATAAATTTAGAATCATAATGATAATTCACCTTTCTTTGCGATCTTGTAATCCTTGATGATAGTTCTTGTAATGATTCTCAATGAACTGCTTTGCCGCGGCGGCCTTCTGCCGTGTGACAGGCGAAGAAACCGCCACATCAGGCTCCAAATTGAAAGTCCGATCGGCCTGCAACTTCATTTTCGGAGCCTCCAGTTTCACAGTTTTTTCTTCACCACCCTCCATTATTTTTCAGATCAAGAATTCAAAAATTGACCCTTTTCTTGTAAACACCAAGAAAAACAAAAATGATGTGCCCAATAATTGGAAGGTTCTTGCAAATGTTATGGAACTTTGACAGTTAAACTGCGGGAATTACGAGGCAAAATGAAAGAAAGGTGTCTGAAACTTAAAAAAATGAAAAATAAGTTAAAAAAAATGATGAAAAAAGTGATTATACTATAGAGTTTTGCGTTGGGATTTCGATGAGGGATCGAGTGTTATGTGGGTGTTGTGTCGTGTGTATGTTTGGTGGGCTATGGACTGGCATTTTACTGATAGCAGACTGTGCAACAGCTGAGACTTAGCTGTAATTTGATGGATTTGTTTACTACTTTTTGATTAGTTCATTGTGTAGTTGAGGGTTGAGCGGAGAATGGAGTGAGAGAAACGCAAATGTTTCAAGGAAAAAGGACTTTTGTACCACGTTGTAAGAGAAAAGACCATTGTGTCGGCGTAACCATGGTAGGGGTAGTTTGGCATGTTGGACGACAGTCAATCTTGGGGAGATTTTTAAGCCATTTTTTTTTTCAAGATTTTTCTTCTATCTCTCTGTTTTTTTTTAATCCTTTGCTTGTCGAGTTAGAAGTTTGTTTGTTGAGAGATGGCGAGTCGATCCAATGAGTTGGACAAAGGATCGCTCCTATCGAGCTCCAATTTTAAGGGGATGAGGAATCCTGAATTTGAAATGTTGGGGATAAACTTTTTTGCATCTATTTTATTAGAGTAGTGCCATTTAGCACAATTGATACTTGCAATTAAATGTTATTAACTGATAAGTTCATGTAAATGAAAAATCAAAACATTCATTTAATTGCATCCATCAAGTGTGGACACCTTGACTGGCGTTCTAACATCAATAATGCTACATATTATTATTCATTTTATTAAGGGATCTTGTTACGTGTATTTCAAAATTTACACAATGATGGATTTGATAATGCCACATCTTTATCATTTGTCAATTTAAAACAAAATCAATTTTTTTCATCAAATATTTTCCCTACACATCATATTATGTAGTCAATTATGTACATTTTTTGTGTACAATTATTAAGATTCTTTATTAAGACCCTGTTTGTGTAGATTAAAATTAGATTTTTAGTAAATTTTGATAAAAATTGATAAAATGTGTAATTATAAAATTATGGATCTTATAAAATATATGATTAAAATTAATTATTAATTTCCTTGAGATTTTATTTGAATTTTAATCTATACTAAAGAAGGGTAAGAAAGTTCCACCAATATATATTATCCAACATTAGATAGTGGGTGAATTATGGCAATCAATGAGTTTAATACGGAAAACTCTCAATTCGTGACAACTTTCCATATAATATTGCGCCCAATTAAGGATTGAAAGTAACATGTATGTTGTGAAATTATATGCAGTCTAAAAGGTCTTTGTTGTATTGAGGTAAAACAACTTTGATTTTTAAGATATTTCTTTTACACATTTAGACATTGATTCGTTAGAACTTGTCATTTAATATGGTCTTCCTATACCTTCTTCGATGCTATTATGCAAGGATAGTGCCTAACCTTGAAAAATGCTAAGGAGATTAAAGGTATACCGCCTCCCGAGGCATAGTTCAGTGGTGCAAAGGATATGAGTGAAGTAGTTTCAGTTAAACTGACAGTTGCAATGTCAAACTTCAATTCCTGCCTCTTACAAAGGTATGGAATTAGACTCTTTGTGGGCACTGGTATAATAACTCTTGTACTCTAATTTGTTGAGACACATTCCGCGATTTACCTCCTTCGCAATTCTCTAGGGCCGGGCCGGGGCGAGGTTACAAAGACCAAGCATTGTGTCCTATAGTGTACCTGTTGGGTTTCAATTGTACTAGATTTGGGGGAGTTTCGCTAGTAGTCACTCGACTTATAGATTGTTTCATTTCGGTTACTTAACTTCAATTTATTTCTATTTGATTTTATAACTTATATTTTTATTTTCAATTTGATCATTCTATCTTTTAATTTGTAACATGGTTAATAGAACTATTCAAAATAACATGTATATTGTGTTGCCAAATATAATTTTTTAATCACTATTCTTGACAATGCAATTTATTTGTGAGTGCTAAAATTCTTGTTGCCAAAAGCCACGTTTTTTTAAATGATGAAGTCACAAATGACATGTAAATCGAATTATTCTTATAGCCATGTTAGAAGACCCATCAGCTGAATCACAAATTTTGTTGTCCAGATAATGAATTTCATTAGTTTTGACCATTGTTCTAAAAAAGGGGAAAACGCGCCGCCTAGGCGCGACGTGCGATCAAAACGCGTAGAATTCGGGAAATGCGGAAAAAATGCGTTTTCCAACTAAAAGGCGCATTAGGAGCGCATTAGTCCGTCTAATGGGGGGGAAAAAAAATTTAGACAAAAAATTATATATTAAAAAATCAATTTTTTTTATATAAAAATATATTTAATGCCTTAAAAATACGAAACGCATTATGACGCTTATTCTTCGCATTGACACGTTTAAACTTTTTTTTATATAAAAATATATTTAATGCCTTAAAAATACGAAACGCATTATGACGCTTATTCTTCGCATTGACACGTTTAAACTTGTAATTCTTGATTCTCGGTCTCGACGCTTCGCAACGCATTACGCATTTTAGAACACTGGTTTTGACAACGGTATAGATGAAATAGCTCAATAGGAAAAAAAATATAAGTAGAGTAATCAAATTTAAAATAATAAAAGTTGATTGATTAACACGAAACAAAGGTTGACATTTTGCAAAATTTACCTATTATATTTTAATTATACATAAAATATAGCATTTGAATTAGAATTTGTTATGATAAATTATCACTAAAATATGATCAAATTGATTCACAAACCATAAAATAGTGATGTAGACAGTTTAAAGATGACATGAATGTCCATATGGGCCTTGACGACTTGTGCCCAAATTCAGTGTGACCGAATCATAATTATTCCTATCTAAGACCACATATACTGACGGGACGAAAAATATAACTCATGTTTGGTATCGATTAAAATTTAAATTTAAATTTAAATTAAAATCAACAATTACTTTTAATGATAGTTTGTTCTGCTCAAGACAAAATTCAAATAAATAGATGCAATTTTTTTTAAGAGCTTAAGTGTGTAAATGAAGTGTTTAATATGGTATTAACGGTAGCCAAATGACTTTGGTTCAACTCTCACCCATTTGCTTTATCGTGCACGTTCAAACATAAGATCAAAAAATTATCTGCTTGAGATATCAACAAGGATCACTTGTATTCATTTAAATAGTGTCTTCAACAAATTTTCCGATTACTCTTTTAAGTGTACGTTTTCCAACTTGAGACAATTTAATGCTGCATATTTTTCTCTCGAAACCTCGACTAAGACTAGATATACTAGTGTTTTTTAACTAAAGGATATGCTGTATCGAGAACCACAGCAATAAAAGATGCACCTAAATTTGGTCATTGTCTACGACGTAAAAAACATGTCATAAACATATGATGCAACAAGGATATGAATACTTAAATTAAATAGATCAAACATACGTTAATTTACATGAATACCAAGAATTTGAACAAATGTTGAGAAAGCTATCAAAACATCTTCGATTTGACTTCCAACTATAAACAAACTAGATGCTAATTTTTGAAAAAAGAAACCCCAAAAAATAAAGGAAAATAAGCAAAACTTCCAAGAAAGTTCTCGTTTGACCACCCAAACGATGGATTCAGATAAAATCCCACTGTCTTGAAGAGTTCCGTTCGAGTTTTGCTAAGAAGTCCATTCACACTCAAAATAAAGGCGGTACTATTTGCAGAAAGCTAACACCATCACCATTGACAATATAGGTCAAAGCCAACCTTGGGTCTTAGGTTGGTCTACAGCCATGAATTTCCACTCCTTAGTTATTGTATATATATAATGTTAAAAGCTTCAAAATCAACAATGTGACATGCACCAGAAGGGGATAGTAAAGAAGGTTGGATTAAAAATTATCAATATGTAAGGACATTGCTTCAAAAGGATAAAAAGAAATTACTTCAAACATTCGTGATGAGAAAATCTTTTTCCTTTTTTCTAACTACGACTTGAATTCATGTTCCTGGACATACATTTCAGGGAAAATACAAAAAGGAAATTGGAATATTGCTAAAATTGTATAAATAAAATAATGGAAAGAAACATTACAGTAAAAATAAAATTAGAGAAAATGATTGTTGAGGTAGTAGCGGTACTGAAAGGCACCGAGACCCGTGTTGCACACAGTGATAAGTGCATTTTGTACACTTATTTGGATCATATTACTTAGGTTTTATGTCGTCAAATTATTAATTTCTATTTAATGTGGGTTAATTTTCTTTTGTTTTTAGTTATGGACTCATTCAAAGCAATTGGAAAAGAAAGAATGATGAATTAAATGAAATCTACAATTTTGCGGATCAAAGTCTAAACTATAGAAATTGAAAGATTAAATTGCATTATTTCTAAAAATTGGAAAACTTGGAGAAACACAAAGTTAATGGGCCTTGAAACTTGAAAGGAAGTTTATACTCAATTGAATTTGCAATTGGATGGGCTGATGACGGCTAAGATATTATATATGGAAGATTACCTATTCAAGAGAATAAGTTTAGTCTATTTCAAAAATAAGAAAACAAGTTTGAAATTTTCAAAATCAGATTTTTATTAAAAAATTTTAAATTTTTATTTATGAAATAATAAATTATTAAATTAATTTATTATTAAATATTTAATTCTAATATAATATAATTAACTCATCCCACCTTCACCACCCCTACCGCTCCGGCGACCGTTCCGATCACCGCCCTACTCGGCGAACTTTCCGACGATCGTTCCGGCGACTACTCCGATTCCGGTGACCGTTCCGACAACTATTCCGGCGACCGTTCCGGCATCAATTTTTCCGGCGACTGCTCCGATTCCGGCAGTTGTTCCAACTCCAGCGAAT